GAAAAAGTGAGACTCTGTCTCTACAAAAAAAAAAAAAACAACAACAAAAAAGAACAATACTGTCCAAATAAATCATTAAAGTGTTTGGGTATTCAGGAAGAAGAAGAGATTCTATTAGAGAAGTCATTTCATTATGTTACCTAATAATTCTTAGACAATTTAAGATAGTTTAATATTCACGGCATGGCAACATTTGTTTATTGTACAGTCATCAAAAAATTATAAACTATTCAGTTTTATTAATAAATCAATACAAATTCATCAACCCATAGCCTAAATAGTGTGCATTTTGAAATCCACTTCATGTTTCTTATTAACAAGCGGTCAGGTAGCATTATTTTTTGTTTAATACAGTAATCTTAGAGTTAAGATTTAATTTAAAAACAAGGCTAATGGGCGGTGCCTGTGGTTCAATGGTTAGGGTGCCGACCCCATATATCAAAGGTGGTGGGTTCGAACCCAGCCCCTGACCAAACTGCAACAAAAAAATAGCCGGGCATTGTGGCAGGTGCCAGTAGTCCCAGCCACTCAGGAGGCTGAGGCAAGAGAATCGCCTAAGCCCGGGAGTTGAAGATTATGGTGAGGTAAATGCTACAGTACTCTACTAAGGGCGATAAAGTGAGGCTCTGTCTCTAAAAATAAATAAATAAATACAAGGCTAATTAGTTAGTGGACATTAAAGTGAATACTTATATAACCTTTCAAACAAGTTATCGTCACTTTCTTTTGATATTTGTAAACTGTTTTTATTTTGATACCAAATAACATTCAAGATTTTTATGTCCTGTATCACAACAAATAATGCTGAAGACTTCTGTTTTATTCTGTATAAGGATTTACCAATCACAGTTGGGTTTCAAACATTAATGTTCTCTTCTTTTTCTTAGCATTGAGAGAAAAATTGCAACAATCTCCTTAGAAAGCAAATCTCCCCCGAAGACCTTAGAGAATGGTGAGTACTTAGTGTTCCTGGATGCCCAAGGCCAATCCTCTGCTTGGCTTGTGTGGGGCCAGGTGGGGCCAAGCTGGCCTTCTAGAATTGTCTCTAGTGCCCCTTGGTATAGTCCAGGGCTGCCCTGGGCAGAAGAGGTACCTGTTGAGCTGGCCCCTGTTGGGTGGTAGCCTGGGGACCTCATTATGTTCCTAGCTACATGGGCTCCTATCTCTGTGTGCCTTGCATCCCCAGGCTGCTCTTCATCACCTTCACTACCCTTGGAGCCTGTCTTCCTATGCCTGTGCTCTACTTTGGCTTGCTTTGGGACAGCCTATCTTTGCTACTCAGAGCCATATTTGCACTGTAGTGTCTTTCCCTTGCTGGGAAGCGCCAGTTCTGGGCTCAGGTCTGACCCTGCAGGGTTCCTCCCCACATCAATTCCCCACTCCAGCTGTGGGCCTGTATAGTGGGCACAGCCCGACAGCAGCATCTCCTGGGCAGCCTCAAGATGGCCCAGGCCTCACACCTCTGCCCATCCACCCTGTCAGGTGGCAGCTTGGCAGGAAGGAAGCTGGCGCCCGCGAGCGAGCCTGTCAACAGCAGCAAGTGGAAGTCTACCTTCTCGCCCATCTCCGACATTGGCCTGGCCAAGCCTGCAGACAGCCCGCTGCAGGCCAACTCTGCCCTGAGTCAGAGCTCCCTGTTTGTGCTTCGGCCCACCCTTGAGGAGCCTGGTGCCTCCGATGCCAAGCTAACCGCTCACCCCCGGAAAGGCTTTCCTGGCTCCTTGCCAGGGGCTGATGGGCTCAACTCGAGCCCCAACCCTTCCCATGGCTTTGCCTTCAGCGGGGGCCTGGCCACGGAACTCAACCTCCATAGCTTCAGTGATGGTGCTTCTCTCTCTCACAAGGGCCCTGAGGCCCTGGGCTCCCCCCTGAGCTTCCCCTCGCAGCGGGGCAAAGAGGCCTCGGAGGCCAACCCTTTCCTCAGCAGGAGGCAGCTGGACAGCCTGAAGGGTGAGGGCTGCAAGGGCAAGGAGGCCGGTGAGGGCGGCCCAGCCCTGTGTGGGCCTGCCGAGAAGGTGCCCCCACCACTGAGCAACAAGGCCACCAAGAGCCGTGACCGTGAGCTTGACCTCAAGAATGGCCACAACCTCTTCATCTCTGCAGCAGCTGTGCCTCCTGGGGGCCGCCTCAGTGGCCCCAGCCTGGCCCCAGCAGTATCCTCTGCAGGCAGCGTGGCCCCCCCTACTCAGACTCACCGGCCCTTTTTGGGCACCTTCACCCCGGGCCCGCAGTTCACATTGGGGCCTGTGTCCCTGCAGGCCAACCTCAGCTCAGTGGCAGGCTCATCTGTGCTACAGTCCTTGTTTAGCTCCGTGCCGGCTGCTGCAGGCCTGGTACACGTGTCCTCTGCCGCCACCAGATTGACGAACTCACACGCCATGGGCAGCTTCTCCTCCGGGGTGACAGGCGGAACAGTTGGAGGTAGGCAGGAGTGCACCTCTCCCGCCTGTCTTGGTGCCTAAGGGCAGGGTTCTGGCTCCTAGCAGGTGGCAGTTCCTTCCTGAACAGCTGTCATCAGTCACCAGTGGCCTCGCAGGTTCCCTTACAGTTGTGAGCAACTGTGCCCACAATTCTCCTTGTCTACATTGGGACCTGCTGCCTCATTCTTGTCATGAAGTCCAAGTGGTGGTTTGTATGGGCAGTGAACTCCATGAGCCACTGTCAGGTTCTCTGGTTGTAACGGCGTCCTTCTCGTTTTCAGAAGGCCACAGTGCACATGGTCACTAGGGCATTACTCTCTCCTGTGGAGGTCACCTGTTTAAGAGTGACTGCCCCAGGCTTTGGCACCGCCTGGGAGCTGGTGTTGTAAGAGCGAGTCCTGTGGCAGACGCAGGCAGGAGCGGAGCTGGGCCGGATCGGCGCCCTGGGCCGGGCGGGCTCCCTGCGGGGCGGGCGGCAGGTGGGCCCGGAGGGGCGGGCGCCCATGCAGGTAAGCTGCTGCCTGCACTGCCGCTGCCTGCGCTTGAGCCTGCACGCACTGGAGCTGCGCCCGTGACTTGCTTCCCCTGTGTGTGTGTGTGTTTCTCTTTGCTTTGGCTGGATCGTGCCCACCTGGTGAAGCTGAGTTTTTCTCTCCTGTTTGCAGGTGTCTTTAACCACGCGGTGCCTTCCGCCTCTGCTCATCCGTTTGGAGCCCGTGTCGGCCGTGGGGCTGTGTGTGGCAGCGCCACGCTGGGCCCGAGCCCACTGCAGGCGGCGGCCAGCGCCTCGGCCTCTTCCTTTCAGGCCCCGGCCTCGGCCGAGCCTCGGCCGCCCCCTCCGCCTCCCCCGCTCCCTCCACCTCCTCACCTGGGCCGGCCCCCTGCGGGGCCCCCCACCCTCCATGCACCCCCTAATGCTGCCTTGCCTCCTCCCCCTGCGCTGCTGGCTGCTAACCCTGAGCCCGTGCTTCTGCAGAGCCTTGCGTCCATCCCGCCTAACCGTGCTTTCTTGCCCCCCACCTCTGCTGCCTCCCTGCAGCCTGCTAACGCCTCTTTGTCTGCCAAGCTGGCCTCCCTCCCACACAAGGGCGCCCGCCCCTCCTTCACGGTGCATCACCAGCCCCTACCCCGGCTGGCCTTGGCGCAGGCCACACCTGGGATCCCACAGGCCAGCACCACGGGGCCGTCCGCTGTGTGGGTTTCCCTTGGCATGCCGCCTCCTTATGCTGCGCACCTTTCGGGGGTTAAGCCACGATAAAGACTTGCTTAGCTAGCAGTTCATATTGTGTAAGGTAAGGCCAGAGCCACACCAGCTGGCTCATTTGAGACTGAACTGCCCTTCCCTTGGCAGAGAGGACGGCTGCAGGGCCCAGCAGAGGGGCCAGGGGCTCTGAGATGGACAGAGGGAGATAGTTGCCAGAGGAGGACCTTAGGATGCATGGAAAGCGTGCTGCCCACCATGTGGCCTGAGTGCAGGGCCTGAGGAGTTCAAGAGGAGTGTTTTGGGGCTGTGGCTGCCCACAGCTACTCTCCAGACTCTTAACTCTGAGTGGTCCTGCAGGGAGCCTTGGATCTGCTCTGGCTACAGTGAGGGGAGGCTCATAGTAGGAGCCTGGTTATCAGAGTGGCCTCTACATGCTGTTCCACCAAGCTCAGGTGACCTGAGAAAGTTGTGCAATCCAGCCTAATTAAGGGTGCATGACATGTGGCAGGCATTTTGGCAGCAGCATTACAGGGCACTAGTGGGGTGTGACGGGGTCCCCATGTGGGCCTGAGTACCCCTCTTAGGGCAGAGTTGAGGAGCCTGCAGCCTTAAGGCCACTGTAGCCTTCTAGTTCCTTAAGTGCAGCCTTATTGACTGAATTCAAATTTTATAGAACAAATCCTTTTATTAAAATGGGTATAGCAGAGAAAGACAAAGCTTTTCTTGCCTCCTTTGGAGCTTAGAAAAGAATAATCTTGAAACCAGAAGGCCTAGGGTATTAAGAAAATACATGGCCTCTGAGGCTCCTAGCATCTTGCCCACCTTCTAAGATGGGCATGTTCTTGATGAGGTTCCTGCCTGTCAGCCCACCAGCTCTTGGAAGCCTAGGGTGACAGGAGAGGCCATCAGTGTGGGCTCTGTGGCCTGCACTGGGCCTACGGTGCTTTGTGGCCCCTGGTGGACAGTTGAGCAGCTCTTCGCCTCAGAACATCAGCACTGACTCAGAGCTACCAGTGTAGACAGCATTACCTTTGGGGCCAGGAAGAAGTTGGGGGTGAGGTTATGCTGTTGGGTACAAGACAGAGTGCATCCCAACTCCTTCCTCTGAGGAGACAGTGCTGTTGCCCACCCACTGGGTAAGGGCTAGAAGCCAGGAGCTAGGGCCAGGGGCCAGGGGCCAGGGCAGGGCAGGCCAGGCATCACTGTGGAAGTGGCAGTGCGCTGCCTGCTGCCCTCAGCTGCAGCCTGTCCTCCCACATGTGTGAGTGGAAGCAGACATAAGCTTTGGCTACTGGGTGAGCTACTTTCAACCACCTGGTCAGTGCTGGTCACCTCAGGACTGGCTGTGCCAGGTCCTGTCAGAGTCCTAAAGATATGGTGACTGTAGCTGGACTTGACCTCACATCCTTAGAGGCAGTGGTGTGGCTAGGCTGCATATCTCACAGGGCTGCTGGAGCAAGGCAGGCAACTGGCTGGATGCATCCCTGTGTCAGGACACCCCCCCCCCCCCCCCGTGAACCCACAGGGGTCACTCACCTCCGGCAGAGGGAGCTGGCTCCACACCTATCTCAAGACAGTCCCCCTCTGCGGGCAGCCTCCCAGCAAGCAACCCTGGCCCAGTATGGCTCGTGCATATAGGAGACCATCGGTCCCCTGGCCTGGGTGCGTGTTTGGGCACCTTAGAGTGAGGTGTTAACAGCTTTTCCTCCCTCTGTGCCCTCTGCAGGTAACTAGGATTTCTACCTCAACCGCGAGACCTATGCAAGGACGGTGTGGACCAAGGCGCCCGCTGCACGGTGCTCGCCGGCCTGCCGGGGCCCCCCCCAACCCCCAAGGCAGCATGGAGGATGGAAGGATGGAGCTCTACTGTGAATCTCGGCACACCCGCAGGAGAGGCTGGGCCTGGTCCAGTTTGTACTGTCAATAGTTTTAGATAAAGTATTTATCGTTTTTTAAAAAGTATAAACAATTCTGACTTATTTTATTCCATCTAAGTCGTCAGAGGCAACCTATTAAGAAATATAAATATCTATATATAAGAGGATCTATATATAAAGAAACGTGTTTGAAGGGCTGGCCTGCCAGTGGAGAAGCCGACAACCTGTCCCGGTGCTATTGTCCCCAGTCCTGTGCCCCCTCACTGCGCTTGGTGCTGACTGTAGATGCTGACCAATGCTGATGCCAGTTCTCAGAAACACCTGCTTGCTGGCTCCTGCCACCACTCTGTTCCTATACCAAAGGCATGCCTGCCTCTGTCATGACGCTCCTTGAAGGCGGCTTCCTCCCAGAGGGGCCCAAGCCAACCTTTCAGACCCCTCCTCCTTTAAGTCCCTATGCCTGCCCTGGATCACCCTCTCCTACCCCTCACTCTGTCACTGTGAGCACACCCAGACTGTTAACCCTCAGGGCTCAGGATTGGTGCCTTTGGCATATGAACAGGGTGTGTATAGCAATGTGGCATTCTGCAGCTGAGAGGAGTAGGCCCCCAGCTTGGCTCCCTGGTCTGTTTTGAGTGGTGCTCTGAGGAGGGGGTCACCCTAGACTGGCTGGGTTGGCCTATGTAACAAGTGCATTTACTTTGTATTTCTTTGCTGTTGTGGGCTCAAGTTATGCTATGTGATGTGGGCAGGCCAGTCATGGGTCCCTGGTGTTTCTGTATAGGAGAGAGTCACCCTGATAAGTGACAGTATTTTATAGATGCGATGAAAATTTATACATTTCATAGACTTGACTGCATTTATTTTTAGATGGTATAATGCACAGTGAACTTAAGAAAAAAAAATGAAAGAAAAGCAAGGGGAGAAACCTTTTATTTATTCAAATGTACAAAAGGGGCACTGGCCCCTAGACCAGCCCCACCATAGACCCTGCCTTGTGCAGCCACAGGCGCCCACAATAGAGCTGCTGCATAGCCTGGTGAACAGGTTCGTGCTCAGCATTCGTGTCTGTGGGTTCTTGTAGCTCCTGTGGTGTATGTACAACGGAGCTCAGACATGTCTGCTGGAGCCTTATGTCTCTGGGCCTCAGGTTGATGCTGTGCACCCCTTCCCCTCTACTTTAGTAGCCTCATAGGGCTTTGGACTGGTATGGACAGGAGAGCAAAGGCTGAGCTTGGCAGGAAGGCAGGACAGTTCTGGCTTTGTGAAGGGTCTGGAAGCCCTAGGTCCCCTGATATGGTCAGTGTTGGCCAGAGGCCACCTGCTAGGGTTACTAAACAGCAGCTGGTCCTGGTGCTTCTGACCCTGAGGTGTGTGCCCTGGGCTTCAGTAGGCCCATTCTCAAGTGTTTCAACTCTGGAGACCTTCCTTTTCAAAAGGGCCAAGAGTCATCCTAGTGCTTCCCTTCTGCCTTCCTGGGGCCCTGCTATGCTAGCCTGTTGAACTCAGCCAGGACACATATCCCCAGCCATGGTGGGAGCTCCTGGAGAGAGCCCTGCCCTCAGTTTCCAACTGGGGGCAGGGAGCCTGTTAGAAGCCTGTTTATTCCAAGGGGCTGGTCTTCTCCTATCCCACCCCAGCCCTGCTTGCCCTGCTCCCTACAGCCTGTGTCTCAGACCCCCTCCACCCTATCAATAGAGTCTGAAGATGGTGCTCATGACCTATATTTAAAATTGGCCTGTTTTCCCTTAGGTGGCCACTCTGGCTCCTTTCTCTCCACGTTGGTGCTCTCAGTTTGTAGGTGCTGTGCCCTGGCCTTCAGGATAGGGCAGCCACCCAGCATGGCTCCCTCAGATGCTGCAGGGTTAAAGCAGAGGTGGTCTACAACAAAACACATTCTTTTGTAAACACTGAATGCTTCTGCCTGCCACTCCCAGGGACATGGGTGGCTTGGGTGCCAGTGTAGGTCCTATATTGCTGGGCTTCTGCTGATGGCCCATGTGCAACTCACCCACTTCGAAACCTATGTCTACATGTGTACTTGAGCTTTGAAACATGAAATGCTATGTGTTCAGGACATGCTGACACTGGTGCTGGGTCTCAGGTGTAGCTGGCAAGGGTGGAAATCCCCCTAAGCCTACTGGGGGCCACAGGTACACTATTATTGATGAACAACGGCATCCCCTTCTTTGCCTGAGTCCCAGGACTGTGCCCACCCAGATTTCCTTAGAAAGTATAGGGAGGCAGGCAGTGGGCATAGGGTGGCCACAGGGCCTGGTGGCCTCTGGGTTTGGCGCTGGCGCCTGGGTGGAATGCTTTTGCCAACAACAGGCCACTCTAGGGAAACCTGGGAGGCTGCCAGGTGGCCCTTGCTCAGGAACCCCTAAGAGCCCTAAAATAGTCCTTGAGGCCCTGCTAAGGGGCCTGCCTGGCCAGCAGGAAACAGCCAACAAATGGTGACTTATTTATCTGCCCACAGGACCAGTCCTTCTACTCAGGGGTCAACAGGGGACCCCTCCCCTTCCCATCCATCTATCATTTGGTCAAATGGTCCATCCAACCAGGCTGCTGCTTTTTCTCATGTTTGACAGACTTTGTAACTTGAAGCTTTGCATTGTCTTTACAGAGAGCTCTGGTTTCAGATGCGTGCATTGTCAAAGTAGCCCTGTAAGCTGCTGCCTGACCTCTCCCATGGCATTCCTGCTGCGTTCTGCATTTTCACCTCCAGATGCTGTAATAAAAACATTTTCACCTGAAAGTGGTCTAAATGGTTTCTTCCTGGTGACACAAGGCAGCAGCTGTGGGTGGGTGGGAGGGATCACGTCCAGTTGAGTTGGCCCACTAGAACGCCCTGCCTTCTGACCAACTCAGGCCCAGTTGACTTTAGGTCCTGACAACATGGAAAAAACCCTTGGCCTTTGCCTGATCCTATGGGTGAGAAGCCAATAAGAGGTCCCAGCCATACCCAAGGGCAGTGCCCTGAACAGGGGTGGGACTGCAGGTCACCTTAGGATTCCTATGACCCACTGCATCCCCATCCCTGGGGTCCCAGCCTCCCACACCTTTCCAGGTGCAGGTGGCCCAGCCCCTATTCCTCAGGCACTTAAAACAGATAATGAAGTCTTCTCCAGGCTTCACTAAGTACCTCACCTCCTTCAAAGGAGAGGGTTTCCAGCCTGGGGAAGCTGGCCTGTTCCCTCTGCCTTCACTTCATTAGCATCCAACATGGAAGAGAGGTACTTTTATTTGAATAAAACAAGCACGCTGACCCAGGCTGACCGCTTCTCCAGGGTTCAGGCAGATTCACAGCTGAGGGAGACCTAGCTCCCTTGCCATTCACAGCATCATCTAGCTTAGTACATTCACCTGGCACAGAACTGGAGCCACAAAGGACCAGGGGCATGCCAAGCCCTTGCTGGACACAGCTAAGGACTCAGGGCAGAGCTCCTGGGAGTGGATGCTTGTGCCAGGCAGCAGCACATGACATGGAGGTGCTAGACTAGTCCAGTAGGTCCTGAGGCACAGGGAAAGAAGCTTGTCAGGTGGTTTCCCACAAAAAGAGCCCCTGTCAACCTGCACATGCCTCAGGCTTTGAAAGTCTTTACAGCAAACAACTCCCACTTAGTCCAGGCTTGGTCCAGTAAATCCAGGGCCTGGCAGGAGGTCCAGGTGAGGGGGGCAGGGCTGACTGCCTATGCCCTGGTCTCATTCCTTCAAGCTGCTCAGCTGAAACCTGGCCTCCTCAGATATGCCGAACTGCTCCAGGGGATCCTGTGGGCCAGATGGGTGCCATAAGTTGCGTCTTGGAAGACCACCCCTGCCACCTCCAACCAGGCACACACCTTGCCTGTCATCTTCTGGATCTCATTCCTGTAGAAGATGAGGCTTCTTCGCATAAACTCATAGCTGCAGGAGAAGGCAGCACTCTGTCAGGTTCCCACTTTGTATAGCTATTGCCCCAGTACCCAACTAGGCCCACATCCCACTTGGCCCCACCTGGCCTGATGCAGAGCCTCCATCCACTCCTGGCACTGCTCCTCACTGCAGCACTTGAAGTAGTACTTCCTTTCTGGGTCCTCCATGAAGCCTGGGGAAGGAGCCACGACTGGTCCATACCTGCTATGCCAGCTACAAGGCTCAGCTTCCTCTTGCCAGAACCCCAAAACTATCTCCCCTCTGGCCCCAGCACCCGGTCATCTCTCTGCCTGTCACAGGTTGAACTTCATCCCTAGAAAAACACATTCAAGCCCTAACCCGCAGAACCTATTAATGTGGCGCTATTTCGAAATATCTTTGCAGATATAATTTGTTAAGATCAAATTATTAAGATGGGCCCTAAATACTGACCAGCCTCTTTGTAAAAGATGGAAACTTGGACACCAAAGACGACGCAGGGAGAATTCCCTGGAACACGAAGGCAAAGACCAAGGTGCTGCTTCTACAAAACGAGCGTCAAGGATTGACGAAGACCACTAGAAGCCCAAAGGCCTCAAAAGAAAACAGCCTTGCTCCAGAATTAACTTTCTGGTACTCAAGCCACCCAGTTACCGAACTGTCACAGCGATTCTGGCACAACTGTCCACCTTCCACTGTATACTTGTAATATCCCACAACGACTGAGGAGAACCCTAAGAAGTCTCCGCACTGAGCCAGGCATCCTGGAGAGCAAAGCTAGAATTGGACTGTGCTTGTGGCTGTTCAGCAAAAGGCTTGGCCGGGGCACGGGCCAGTCCACGGGGAAAGAGCCTCCAGGGGACCAGGCAGGTGCACAGGCCGCCCGGCGGAGGCCCTGGCCTTGAGCTGTCCGGGGACAGTGGACTCACTGATGGAGAAGCCGCTGGGCTCTTCCCGGGCGACGATGCAGCGCTCCAGCAGCAGAGCTCCGACCGGCTGCGGGGACACGGACAGAATAGGCCGTGAGTGCGCAGGCCCCACAATGACCCCCACCCGACCCGCCGCCTCCACGCCCCTAACCTCTGCCTCGTCCGTGCGGAAGTAGAAGAGAAAATTCACCACCAGCTTCACTAGCCTCCGCTTCACCACTGCGGGCACAGAGCAGGCTCAGGGCGGCCGCGAGACCCCACCCCGGCCTCCCGTTCGTCCGCGCCCCTGTCCCCGGCCCCGCTCACCGCTGCCTTTCTTGGGACCCCGCATGCCCAGCTCGGCCGCCAGCTCGGCCGGCTGACGGGACAACGCCTGCAGCTCCTTCTCGTTGTAGCGCATGGTGCCGAGGGGAACCGGAACCCAGAGCCCGCCCTCCGGGCCGCGACCAGCGCCAAAAAGGTCTCGGGACGCAGTTCCGGAAGCACCATACAAGCTGCTGCGCCTGTGCTTCCGGAGCCGGCCGTCCCGCGGAAGCCGTACAAGCAGCTGTCACGTGACCTTGGAATAGGAAATAAGCCGGATCCAGAATCAAAGTAACTTCCCTGTCCCCTGCGACAGGCGGCAGCCTACCCTACAGCCGCAAGGCGCAAGCGGAAGAAACAGTAACCTTTCAGGGAGGATCAACTAGCCCTCCATCAAGAGCCGGCCTCTCTCGGACGGAAGCTTACAGGGAGCGTTGTGCGCACGCGCATGTCGGCTTCTGACCGCACGTTCAGCCCCGCCCCCTCGCGCCCTGATCCTCACTCCTCCTGAGCGGCCGGCCCACGCCTCTCGTCGGGCTGGGCTTGCGTACACGGCCGACCCTACCGTTTGCTCCGGAAGTGCTTGCTTTGCCCGCGACGCGCGTGCGCAGGCCTAAGTCGTAGCGGTGGCTAGAAGGCGGTGGTAGCAAGGCCTTGGACGCTGGTGAGGAGAGGTGGTGGGTATGGACGATGGCAGCCAGCATCCCGGGGTTCCTTAGAAATGAGCGGATGCGGGAACCTGACGCCTAAAGTTGGGGAGGCGGGCTGAGGGGAGCATGGGCAGCCTCCCTCCGGAGGGCGTCTGGTCTTCTGCGCTCTTCAGCGTCCCGCGCTGGGCGGGACCCTCCTCTCTGCCAGCTTGGCGCTCTCTCTGAAGACCTGTTGGGGTCCGGTCGGCCATCGCGACCAAAATGGCTTCGGGCGCTTTCCGTGTATCCCAGGGCTTTTCTGAATGCTAGTTTATATCCATTAATTGACTAGCTTTGAAGGATGATTAAAGGATACCGCAACCCTTAACTGTGAGACGGGAGTAACAGCCTTAGCTCCATGCCGAGGGCGTCATAGAGGGGTTAACTGGCCAGCCTTTGCAGGGGCATCCGGAGCAGTTAGACTTATGTGCTGTGTCCACTGCTTTCATCCGCCCTTTGACACAGAACAGCTAGAACAGCTGTAAAATAGGTTGTTTACTCGGCTTAAGGAGATAATGGTTTTTCCACCAAAAACAGTAATTAATACCGGCTTTCTGGTCCAGTCCCAGGGCCCAGAGGCGACGTCTTTTCAATTCTTAAAGCCGTTTCCCCTTCTCTTTACCTTCATGAAGAACACGCTTTTTTCAGGGTATATCGATTTTTATTTTCACTTATTTATTTACTTATTTTTGAGACAGAGCCTCACTTTGTCGCCCTCGGTAGAGTGCCGTGGCGTCATAGCTCACCGGAACCGCAAACTCCTGAGCTTAAGCGATTCTCTTACCTCAGCCTCCCAAGTAGCTGGAACTGCAGGTGCCGGCCACAACGCCCGGCTGATTTTTTTGTTTGTTTGTTTTGTTTGTTTTTTAGAGACGACGTCTCCCTCTGGCTCAGGCTGGTCTCGAACCTGTGAGGTCAGGTGAGCCACCGCGCCTGGCCCAGGTATTAGATATTTTTAGATACCATCTGCTGATTTCCTGTCATGGGCAGTGAGATCCTGTTTTCCCTCCTATCCTCCCATTCAGTGTCTTCTATACAACAAATGATTTTTTTTTTTTTTTGAGACAGAATCTCAAACTGTTGCCCTGGGTAGAGTGCCGTGGCGTTTCCGATCACAGCAATTTCAACCTCCTGGGGTTAAGCGATTTTCTTGCCTTAGCCTCCCAAGTAGCTGGGACTACAGGTGCTCACCACAACACCCAGCTATTTTTTGTTGTTGTTGCAATTGTCGTTGTTTTAGCTGGCCCAGGTCGGGTTTGAACCCACCACCCTGGGTGTACACGGTGGCTGGCACCTTGCCAACTGAGCTACATGCCCCGCCCCAAAATGAGTTTTTACCAGAGCTTTTGGTCTAAATAGTGATCGTATTTTCTAAGGCTGAAAATATTGTTGGCCGCTAAAGCAAGTAATAAATTCAACTGGACTAGTTTTCTTGTATCCCCCAAATTAATGAACTTTTTTTGTCAACCTGATTTTTATTTTACCTATTGTTAATTTTTTTCCTCAAAGCTTTAGCATCCCATACACTTACAAAGTGTACTTTCTATAGGTTTGAATAAATTGATTTCCACTTCTCCACTTTCCTGCGAGACCCCTAAATCTTCCTGCTCCAAATTGGACTGTTTGCTCTCTAGCCTTGCTAGGTTTTCGTAGACCTTTGTGTCATTGCTTTCCTGGGTTGGCTTCTGTTTTCCATCTGGCAATTTTTTCTTTTTTTCTTTCTTCTTTCAGAGCATATCTCCTGATAGCTTTTGAAGTAATAGGTGATTTTTTGTTACTGTTTTTTAGTCCTGTATTGTTTGAAAATAACTTTGTCTTCATATTTAGAAGTTTGGCTGCGTATAAAATTCTAGATTGAGGCTCGACACTCATAGCATAGTGGTTATGGCGCCATCGACACACAGTGAGGCTGGCAGGTTCAAACCCAGCTCAGGCCAGCTGAACAATAGTGACAACTGCAACCAAAAAATAGCCAAGCGTTCTGGCGGGCCCTGTAGTTACAGCTACTTGGGAGGCTGAGGCAAGAGAATCACTTAAGCCCAGAAGTTGGTGGTTGCTGTGAGCTGTGATGCCATAGTACTCC